ACGGTTACCCAGCACTGTGAATGCACTAAATGCCTCTGAATTGTACACTTCAAAGTAGTTAAAAGTTAAACTTGTTGTATGACTCTCACTTTAATTTTTAAATGTTTTTAAATGTCTTGTTGGACATTTTGAAGATGAAACCTGTTTATCTGAGCCTCGCACTGAGCTCATCTTATGTATATACAGAAAATATTCTTTTCCCAGTTATAACCACTAGGTATGTGGTTGTTTTGTTTTGTTTTTTCAGGAATGCAACTATGACATAAATTCAAGGGCGCTTTTTTAATCCTCAAGATTAAAGATTTTTTTTTTCATTGATTTCTAGAGAGAATGGAAGGGAGAGAGGAGACAGAGAAGGAGAGAGAGAGAGAAACATTGACTTGAGAGACACACCCATTGGTTGCCTCCCACACAGGACCCTACGGGCTAGGAATTGAGCCTGCAACCGAAGCAACGTGCCCCTTGCCTGGGAATTGAACCCTTGACCTTTCGGTCCATAGGCCAATGCAGAGAAGTTTATTTTCTGTTCAAAATTTTATCAAGAGCTGTTGACTATTTTACAACATGATATTTATAATAGCAACATTTTTCAAAATCTGCATTTGCATTTATCACCCTTACATGTAATACAAGCTCTTGGCAACTTCATTACATCATTATAGGCCTTATCAGTGGGGGCAGAGTGAGGAGAGGAACTTAGGTCAGGACAATCCAGGTCTCCCTGGATCTTACCAGATATCAAGGCAACACAGGATAAGGAGTCTTAATTTGAAGTCTTGCAATCACAGCTCTTTGTGCAAAAGTAGAGATAGAAATGCCAGGCGGAGCCTCCCCCTTCAGGGTGAAAAGGCAGGTGATCTCTTACCCATGGCCCAGGGCACCAAAGGCTGTGTCCTAAGTGGGTTGCGTGAGGTCAGCCTCCTCACAGTGGGAATGCGTGTCTTCCCATACACACCCTGGCAGCACCAAAAGTCATTAGCGCTGGCCTCTTCTCACAGTAGTTTGGGGCTTGGAACATTTCATACTTCCAGGCCTTCATCACATTAGGAAAGAACCCGGCCATGGACCAACCCCTTCATTATGCTTCGCTCCCATCGCTGTTGGTCCAACAACCCGAGGATTGCCTTGGGAATAAGCAACCCCCAGTTGGCCAATGTCGGACTTTCCCTGCCAGTACAACCCGTAACTTTAGTCAGCCTCTGGTCTATTTGCTTCCAGTCAGTGCCATGAACTTACAACCAAAGCTAAGCGTCTTGTTGCATAGATGTTAATTTACTCATTTTGCTCCACATGCGATGTATGCTTTTAACCTGAACCCTCACA